CTCTTCGAGATGTGAGCGAAATTGGAGTGTTTTCGAACGCATCCATACAAAAAGAAGGAATAAATTGGAGCGTTTTCAAACGTATCCATTCAAAAATAAGGAATAGATTGGAGCATCAACAATTGAATGACCTTATTTTTATCCATTATAACTTGCGTTTGCAAAATAGGTATAAAACATTGGCAATTTTAATATTTTTATTGATATTTTTATTTGGTGTGTCTTTTAGAATGTGTTATAAGAAAAGCAGTTGTGTTCCTATCGACTATGAAAGCATCGACAAAATAGAATTTTGGATTGCTGACGATGAACAGGTGGGTGATGAATTCAGTTTAGATGAATTGGAGTAAGCACTTTATAAAGAATGATCTATTCCTATCGATGTTGGTGATCAACCATACTATGATTCAACAGATGTTTCACAAGGTTGTTTTCCAACTTTTAACCAACTTGGTTGCTATTTTAAATTATAATATTAAAAAACAATATACATCATAATTTTTAACTTATATTTTTAATTTTTGCTAAATTTTTTCTAGATGATGGTGATGATAATGATGATGACTAGAACGATAATGTGGATAATCAATTTAGGATGGGTTGAACTGTTGAAGATCATTGGAAGAATAAAGTATGTTTCTATTTTAAATTTGGGTTATGGAAATGATTCAAATGAATATAGGAATTGAGATGGATTATTATATTAATCAATGTAGTAATTTATCTGATATTTTCTTTCTAACTCTTTTGTTGTATTTTAATTCATTTGTAGAAATTGAGATGGATGATGGGACTCACAGGAGTTGATTCAATTGAATTTGGATTCAAATCATTTTACTTATGGCTGATGGATGGTGGTTTGGTTGGTGGATTGATATTTTATAATTTTGTATGTTGGTTGGTGGATTGATATTTTAACATTTTGTAATTTTGTTTGTGTGCTGGTTGGTGGATTGATATTTGATATTATTTTGTATGCCTTTCAAGTTTGAATTTTGTAAACTGTAAGTGGTTAAAAACTATTAAACTTTGATGTTTTTATTATTGTTACAGGGTTTGTTTAATTGTTTTTACAAAATATTAAATTTTAGGGTTTTTTTGATGTCATGATGATGTCATCATGAGGATGTCATTGATCTAACTGGTGGGTTAGATTGATCCAACAGCCAAAACCAGAAATTGGGCCCTTGACTAGGTCTAGGCCCGGTCTGGTTTTTAGAACATTGCCACCATCAACATCCTCTTATCCTCCTCACCAAAAACCCTAACTTTTCCACTTGAGTGCACCCGCCAATCACTGGTCGCCGCTCCTTGCTGATCTGCGCAACTTTTTAGTTTTCAGCCGAATTCCGATAGATTTCGGCACAAGAAAATCACCCCTAACACCACCATCAACATCCCTATCTCCTCTTCATCAAAACACCTACCTCCATTGACTATCCCCACGCGTGGGTGAAGGTGAAGTGTCATTGGGGAAATTTGTCGAACACTTGGTGGGTGTGGGCAGTGCTAAGGTTGGTGGTGGTTGGCGGCCTAGTGAAATAGTCAAAAAAAAAAAAAAAAAACCACAATCAATCAACAAACCACAAACACTTTAAAACCAATCATTCTCCTTTCAAAACAAACTCCAAATCAACCTCCAATCAACCCAAAAGCAACAATTTTGCAAAACACCTAAAGGGGGAGACGGACGGCGATCGATAGACAATCGAGGTCGAGGGTGTTGGGGTTTTGGAAGGGCGATGCTTGTTGTGCTATTGATGGTGTCAGGGGTGATTTCCAGCACTAAGATCTGTCAGAATTTGGCTGGAAAGGCGCGACAACCAAGCGAAACCCTAAGGGAGAGGTGGCGGAGATTGACGAGCAATTGTGATCAATTTTGGTGAGGGGAAGCTGGTGATGCTATTGGTGGTGTTGGGGGTGGTTTCTAGTGCCGAGATTGGTCAAAATTTGGATAAAATGTGCGACCAAAACTAAGAGCGACAGTCGACAATTGGGGGGTTCAATCAGGCGGGGAGGTTAGAGGTTTTAATATGGGGGTTGAGGGGATTGTAATGGTGGTGTCGGGAGAGATCGACTACGTCGAGAACATGCTAGATTGGCCTGAAATCGCCAGTCGCTTGGTGGGATGAATTTGAGATTTGGAGGGTTATTTTAAAATTTTATTTTTGAAATGACTATTTTACCCTTTTAATTGTTACATTAAACAATTTTCTCTTAATTTAAGGGTGGGAATATGAAATTTATGAACCTAGGGGTGGAAACTTACCATTTCGCCAAACCTTGGGTGGGAACATGTTGTTTACTCTATTAAAAAAAAACTTGATAAAGTTAGTGGAGGGTTTTATAAAATTTAATTCACTCTTCAATTGCCTAAAATGGTGCCAAGCATGGGACAACTTCGAAATAATGCAATCTCACCCTTTAATGCAGTCAAATGCTGTCAACTAAGAATAGCCAAACACACCACTATATGAAAGGGTTTAATTGCATTATTTTAAAGTTATCCTTTGTTTGAAATTTCGTTAAAGGGGACTACATTAAAGTTTGAAAAATTCATTAAAACTAATCCCTAACCCTCCCACGGGATTACACAGTATTATCTTCTTTAAAAAAAATTAACCTTTTTTTCAAAAAATAATTTCCTTTAAAACATGTTTCTCAAAATCAAAATAATAGAGAAGTAGGCAGCAAAGTCGCCAACAACTGCCGTTTGTCGGATCTGTGCTTCGTCTTTGGCGATGCTTCTGGAGACATTATCAGCGTCGTTAGGTAGATTGCCAGTTTATCTACTCAATGGTAGTAACGGGGAAGTCGCCGACAGAGGGCTTTGGTCTGAAAAAGCCAAAAAATAATCATAAAAAAAAAGTAACTTCTCTTCTGTTGAAGTTTTTGCTGTCCGTGTTTTCTTAATGATAATGAATTGTAGAGGGGACATTCAGTAAGAAGCCTGATGGGGAATTGCCCAACAATATACAAGAAGCAGCCCAATGAGCTCTTTGTCTAAGTTCCTGGGCCTAATGGGTTCTTAATTTAAATAAAAAAACTTATCTTCAGAGTCGTGAAAGTGTAAAAAAATGCGAACAAATTATTATTAATTAGTATTTATTATGAAAAAAGAGTAGTGAAGATTAGAGGAACATATTTTTCAATTTAAAATTTCTTAACAATATGCAGTTAGTTGCTAATCTTATAATTAATCCACCCAGTCTAAATTAACTCATCAGAACAAAGATTCTTATATCATCTTAATTTTAATCCTTTCCTTCTCATAATGTTTGTTAAAATTAATCAAATATGGCTATTCATCTAAACATAAATTAGTTGCTACATTTAATTAAAGCTATCTCATTTACACCAAAGACCACAAATTAAACTAATTTATTTAACATCACCTCTTTCAGATTCATTTCCATAATAGGGACAAAAATAATTATAATACATGAGTATTGAATGATAATCTTCGTCTCAAACATTGATCACTATTGTGAATTTTATTTACAAGCTATATGTTCATTTAAATATATTGTTTCCTCTTTTGTGTTGTGTGCAGGTGCTGGTGAAGAATAAACTTATTTATAATTACTGCTAGTGGGTTCAGGAATTAATCAACATGGATTTCAGTGATAACTCAATATCCTGGACTGCAATATTGTTGAGTGAAATGCCAGTTACTGAAGAATATTTTCTTCAATATTCAAAGAAAAACATGCAGACAACTTAGAAGAGCTAGGCGTTACTGTTGCAGAATACCAGATCAATGTTGGACATCAGCCCAATAATAATAATAATATTCCTAAGGCTATAAAAAATGGTGTAACATATCAAGGGTGTCTCATAAATCCATTAGGGAGACCACAGTTGTCAAATGGGTTGCAGAATTCAAAAGGATTAACAATGCCAGAGGCACAGGGTGATAAGCATAATGTTGATGATGTTGTGCATAGTGGGAGATGAAGAAAGAAATAGAGGGTACTGAAGAGGCTGAGGCTGAGCAAAGGAAGAGGAAGAATATGATAAGTAGTAGAGCTTCAGCTGCGCGATCTCGAGCCAAGAAACAGGTATCTACTTATTAATATACGTGATGAGAATTGTTAATTGGTAGATAAATTCATTATCAAATTCTCCAGAGATTTATTTTAAAATTTTTGTCATTTGTATAAGCATTTAAAATATCTGGAAGAGGAAGTGGAGGCATTGAAAGATGAGAATGCTCATATGAAGGAACTGATACTTGTAAGTTCATTAGTTAATATTTGCTATTACAGAGATCTTCTGTTACTTCAAATTGCTCACACTGAAAAAGATTGAATGTTTAACAATATCTCTTCAGCTGCTAATTCATTAATTAAAGAGAGAATTTACATATAACCACGATTTCATACTAGCTACGTGATCAAGCAATTAATGAGTTGTAAATTAAATTCTTCACCATTTCTAAATCCTTTAAAGGTGAGAAATATTAATTTCTTTGGGAATTTGCTGGTATTTGTTTAATTTGTTTTGTGCTGACAGATAGAAGAAGAGATGGAGAAGTTAAAGCCAGAGAACTAATTACCACTAACTAATTAAGGAAGACCTTAAGCTATACGTTGTTGCAAAATGCAAAGACTAAACATTTTTTTTTATCTGTATCTTAAATTGAGAGGCTTAGATTTCATCATGAATTAAAGTTTGTTTTGGATCAATATCAGGCTTGATGTATTAATAGTATTCTGAGCACCCAATCCTGGGAATTGGTTTTCTATTTTTTGTAATAAGATTAAACAGATCTGAGTTGAGGGATGATTTTCATAGGATCTAAAGTCTAAACCTAACCTAAGTCATATCAAACCAATACATGATTTCTGATTAGACTGACTCCAACCAATTTACACCTTGCTTTATACGATTTGACCATCAAATTGCTCCTTCAAGTCATTTATATATATAATTTCATGTGTTGATTTATATATAATTTACTGTATAACAACCTTAAATCATTCACCACTAATTTGTAATTACAAAAACAACTGTTAAAAATTTGCTTATCATCAACATCATGAAGCCAGTACACAAGAATTAATATGATAACTAATAAGAGTAGCAAAATATACAGTACTAGGCATAATTCATTCTTCGGCCGAACGCTTGTTTATTCTCTAAACTGACTAGCGAAGAGGTCAGAGAAATTCTGATAATAGTAACCACTGGCTTAGGGTTGGTGGAAGGGATGAGGTGGTAAAGTGGAAATATGATACAAAACCCAACAAGAGATCGAGATCTAAGAGAATTAACCACTGGCTTCTAAAAAATAATAATAATGATCGATAATTTAACACCTACTCTCTATCCTCAGACGTTGTTGATGAGGAGAAGTAGAAGTGGAAGCACGACTGGCTCCACGTCCATGATCCGCAACAAGAGCTTTACGAGCAGAAGCGATCTTATTAGGAACCAACAAAGCTTCAAAAGCAGAACAATCAGTCCAATCTTTAAGCATTTCTTCTTGCCCCCATTGATCCGGTATCAACACACTCCCCGCCACTTCTTCTCTATGTCTCTTCAGCCTCTCACGTCCGCCATTAACGCTATAATTATCCTTATCCTTATTCTGCAAAACTAACTCACCCTCATTAATACTACTAACATCTGAAGAGCCATGCAACCCAGTTGCCTTGCTGCTTGCTTTAATTCTTCGAACGGCTTGTGAAAAGTTCCTGTAACTCATTTCAGATGGCTCTTCTTTAGTGTAATTACGAGGAGAAGGAGTGTCCATGATGAATATAGAAGGGATTTGTGAGGAAGTGGAAAAGATTTTATAATATAAAGAAGTGGGGAAGGAGAGAAGGAGAATGGGTGGGGGTTTGGAATACACGTAAGGAAAATGTTATGAATGGTGGGCGATGGGCCTACGTTTCATGCCTGGACAATGTGTGGTGAAGTTGAAGTGTAGGAAAGATTTTAGAAGACTCCATGGTTTCAAGTTGAGAGGTGGAGATGAATTATAAGCATGTGATTTTATTTTATTTATTTATTTATTGGGTTTTTTGGAATTGGAATATAGGGTTGGTGGAAGGGATGAGGTGGTAAAGTGAGCACATAGAATTTTAATATAAGGGGGCAAAGCAAAAGATGTGGACAAACTGAATCACACCAATAGATATTTCTTTTCTTTTTGATTGTGACTGGTTTTTGTACACAATCTCCCAATACAAGTGTTTTTAAAATCTATATTTTATATACATTTATTATTAAATTTTAACAAGTTATTTTAGTTTATTTCATAAATCTTCATAAGTTTAACACAAAATCAAAATACTATTACTTGATTGAATGAAAAATACAATAAGTAAAATTATTTTGTTAAAGAATAATAATAAATAAATAAAAAAATCATTTTTAAAACTTCAATAAATTGTATATTATTCTATATGTTTTAATGTTGTTTTACAATTTAGACCCAATAGGACATCCGTGTGCGTATATATATACATAATCAATTTTTGGTTTATACGTTTTACATATGAGTCAATCTTTGACTTCACNTAAAAATTTGCTTATCATCAACATCATGAAGCCAGTACACAAGAATTAATATGATAACTAATAAGAGTAGCAAAATATACAGTACTAGGCATAATTCATTCTTCGGCCGAACGCTTGTTTATTCTCTAAACTGACTAGCGAAGAGGTCAGAGAAATTCTGATAATAGTAACCACTGGCTTAGGGTTGGTGGAAGGGATGAGGTGGTAAAGTGGAAATATGATACAAAACCCAACAAGAGATCGAGATCTAAGAGAATTAACCACTGGCTTCTAAAAAATAATAATAATGATCGATAATTTAACACCTACTCTCTATCCTCAGACGTTGTTGATGAGGAGAAGTAGAAGTGGAAGCACGACTGGCTCCACGTCCATGATCCGCAACAAGAGCTTTACGAGCAGAAGCGATCTTATTAGGAACCAACAAAGCTTCAAAAGCAGAACAATCAGTCCAATCTTTAAGCATTTCTTCTTGCCCCCATTGATCCGGTATCAACACACTCCCCGCCACTTCTTCTCTATGTCTCTTCAGCCTCTCACGTCCGCCATTAACGCTATAATTATCCTTATCCTTATTCTGCAAAACTAACTCACCCTCATTAATACTACTAACATCTGAAGAGCCATGCAACCCAGTTGCCTTGCTGCTTGCTTTAATTCTTCGAACGGCTTGTGAAAAGTTCCTGTAACTCATTTCAGATGGCTCTTCTTTAGTGTAATTACGAGGAGAAGGAGTGTCCATGATGAATATAGAAGGGATTTGTGAGGAAGTGGAAAAGATTTTATAATATAAAGAAGTGGGGAAGGAGAGAAGGAGAATGGGTGGGGGTTTGGAATACACGTAAGGAAAATGTTATGAATGGTGGGCGATGGGCCTACGTTTCATGCCTGGACAATGTGTGGTGAAGTTGAAGTGTAGGAAAGATTTTAGAAGACTCCATGGTTTCAAGTTGAGAGGTGGAGATGAATTATAAGCATGTGATTTTATTTTATTTATTTATTTATTGGGTTTTTTGGAATTGGAATATAGGGTTGGTGGAAGGGATGAGGTGGTAAAGTGAGCACATAGAATTTTAATATAAGGGGGCAAAGCAAAAGATGTGGACAAACTGAATCACACCAATAGATATTTCTTTTCTTTTTGATTGTGACTGGTTTTTGTACACAATCTCCCAATACAAGTGTTTTTAAAATCTATATTTTATATACATTTATTATTAAATTTTAACAAGTTATTTTAGTTTATTTCATAAATCTTCATAAGTTTAACACAAAATCAAAATACTATTACTTGATTGAATGAAAAATACAATAAGTAAAATTATTTTGTTAAAGAATAATAATAAATAAATAAAAAAATCATTTTTAAAACTTCAATAAATTGTATATTATTCTATATGTTTTAATGTTGTTTTACAATTTAGACCCAATAGGACATCCGTGTGCGTATATATATACATAATCAATTTTTGGTTTATACGTTTTACATATGAGTCAATCTTTGACTTCACAAATATGAAAATCAAAACTAGAATATTCTTTTGTGGAATATTCTACCGCTCATTATAAATTAAAGTTTGATCAAAACTCTTACTTTGAAATGAGTTTTCAACTCCAAGAGCCAATTGTTCCACTAGTAGTAACACCAATTTATTTTATTACTATTTTTAACATATGAAATATAAAACAAAAAATATTTTAAGAATACATATGTCAAGTTGGCATTTTTAATTCAAAGTTTTTATATGAGAATTTTAAACAAATACTTTCTTTCTATGTTTAGAAATAAGAGATTAACACTATCCTTTAGACAAATACATTTAGAAGGGGGTGACTTTTTATTTTTATTTTTTGTATTTATTATTTTTCATCTAAACTTGAATGAGTCTAAATTTTAATACAAATTGAATTAATCTATATATATATTCGTTTTCAATGTCTAATTATAAGTGTTAAGTTATGTGCAAGGTTATTTTGTAGTTAGGACGTCCAGATAATAATTTCATCATATTTATATCAGGATGCCTGAACTAAATAATTACCAAATATATATACCATTCAACAGAACACAACATTACATCACGTAATAACCCACTTGGCATTTCCCTTTTATTAGTCATATCTCTTCTTGAGCATTATGTATTACATATATGAATTTTATCATAAACCGTTGGCCCTACTTACTAGGGCCTTGTATGAATTAGGGTGGCCTTAACTTTATAGATTGTATGGGAATGAATGGGGATAGGAATGAGAATGTATTGTGATAATGAATAGTGATGAAATTGAATAAAAAATTGTAAGATACTGACAATTCTCCCAAAAAGTTATATTAAAAAGTCCAAACTTGAAGGACAAAGTTGTCCTTTAATTTTAAATTGCCTTATTTCTCACATATTGGCTCTCTCACCAAACATCTCTTTAGAGACTCTCACTCTCTAATCGTGGTTTTACCTTTTATTTTATTCAATTGCCTAACTTTAGGATTTAACTTTTTTTATAGATAATAATACATGAGATATTATTCCTAATCTGAGATCAAATCCATACCTATTAGGAATTTTATTTAATTCATAATACAATTATATTGTTATTCCTACAGAAAAACAATTTTACATAAAAACATATTAGGAAAACCTATGTCTAATGCAACATTAATTTGGATTAAATTTGACTCATAATCTTAACAAAAAAAAATGTAAGAAAATGAGGAGAAGAAATGAGAGATAATGGTAAGAGAATGAGTGAGGATGAAGAAGAAGGAGAGGAGGAAGAGAGAGGGAAAGAGAAAAGAGTAATACTAGCCTTACAAAGAGGCATACACAAGAAGCATACAAAGAGACAAATTCAACCCTTAAAAAGAAGAAGAGAGAGAGAGAGAGACATCATGAATTTTAAGGATTGGATTTATCTTTTGTATGCTCTTTGTAAGACTAGTATTACTCAAGAGAAAAAAGAGAGGAAAGAGAGAGCGGTGAGATTTTTTTTTTTTTTTTTTTTTTTAATTTTAGTTCAATTAGGCATTTACAATTGTTCAATTTAACTTCAGGTTACTTCTTTCAATGATGCTTTATCGGTAGGGGCTTACGTAAGACTTTTAAAAAAAGGTTGTGCCGCCTCATACGTAGCTATCTCATAGGGAATTGAATAAAACTAGCTCCACATTGAAGAAAAAAAGGTACAAGGCAAAAGGGTTAAAAAAATTTACAAAAATAAATTAATATTTGTATTAGTGACCAAAACAAATCATTTAAAGGATTAAGATGTTTTTACATTAAGATAAAAAGGTCAAATTATTGGGTTTTTCTATTCAAATGGTTCAATCTTATGAACATATATAAGTTGGAAAACAAACACACATAAATGTTTAAACCACTCAAATTGGTCAGATTTACATATCATAAACAAGCGAGCCCTAAATTTCAAGAAATTAGTCAAACACCATGTTATTGTATTATTATATTTGGGCTTAAGCCCACGTTAGTCTAGGGTTTCTTAATTGTTTTCTGAGTAATACTACAATACATCATTTCATACAACATTTTCCATACACATTATGTGTAATATAGATTGGCTTTAAAGTTAAAATTAAACTTCATCCAATCACATCTGCCACATATATTGTATGAGAAATGTTGTATGGGAATGATGTAGTATAGTATTATTCTTGTTTTCTATCCATATCACTAAATTAGTGGGATCATCATTCTATTAAAACATATCTATGTGTACTATTTCAGAGATAATAGAGTAGACTCTTTTCACCAAAAATTAACTTGGTATCAGCGCCTCCTCTTATACAGCCAAATTGCCAGTTTTGTCACATTCTGGCGCTGATCTCCTAAGATCCACTACCGATCTTGCTAATTTTCTTAGATCAATTCAGATTGTAGGGGTCTGTAGTGTGTTTGTAGGATTTGAAACTTGCATGGTTGTTTTGAAATGTGTTGCTTGTTGTGTTGTTATTTGTTGTTGGTTGGTGCAGTTATTTGCACTTAGAGAGTATTTGTGTTTATTGGGTGTTATTTGCTGGTGGTGTTGGTTTGATCACTTGTGTTAATGAGTTCTATAATGTGCCTTTTCTAAGGTTCTCAAACCTGGGTGTGTTTGTTTTATTATTTTAATAGTATTTTGAAAAAGTGAGTTGGGTTATTATTACGAGGAGAGGATTTGAATATGAAAATGTGTTTTGCAAGATTATTTTTTAATCCCCTATATTTGTTAATTTAGTTAAACACCCTCTACAATAAAGTTTTAAAATTACAAAAAACACCCTATCCAGCCATTAAATGCCGACCACCGACTTCTGGGAATATGTGGGTGGGTGGGGGGTGTTTTTGTTAATTTATAAACTTTTTTTTGTTGGGGGTGTTTTTAAAATAGTTGAATAGAATAAAATTGGATTTCAGAATAGGAAACAAATA